AGAACCCGTCTATTTACTGTTTTAATGGTTTGAGGTGAACTGAGCTTCTTGTCTTAAAGTGATGTTAAACTGATACATTCATAGGTGTGTGAGATTGTGTGTATAGCATAAAATGAATAGAATAAAGCACTGCATGAATGAGTGCATAAGTAGGTAAACATGGCTAGAAAAGTGATTTATAAATGCCAGTCTATTTGACTTTCTTTATTAAAGTGGACCTACTATGCGAATTTCCAGTCATTTGGACTTTACTAGACTGACTTTGGATAATTCATCATTCAAAAAATCCAGATTTTTCTTACATTGGGCCTTGGTGAAGCCCCTCTGTTCACCTACTTTCTAAAATAAACTGTTTTTGCTCCCTTCCCCGGCATTTAAGCCAGCTTTCATCTGGTTGGCTGCCCTTTCATGATCAGAAATGATATCACCATATTAGGGTTATCCACTCACTGACATCATACAGGGCAAAGAGTAGAAAAAGCAGATTAAAATAGGAGGAAAAAGAAAAGAATTACACCAGTTTCTAGAGCTAGTGAATGGTATGGTATATATAAGGGACATGTAGTACATTAGTACTAAGTATTTATTTATTTATTTTTACTCATTCTGTATTTGAAATTTGATTTAAAGATTAATTGTTAACTATTCATTCCTTCAATTTCATGTGCTTTAGTCCCTTTTTTCAAAGGTCACTGTTTTGAAACTGAAAATGACACTGCTGTGATGCATTTGAGAACTGTTCGGGAGCCACACCATCTAAAAACAGTGCAGTTGATAAGGACTACAAGCATAAACGAAGCTGCTGATAATTCAAACGAAGGAGAAAAAGCAAAAGTAGACACACAGACAGGCACAACGAATAGCTGTAATTTAAAACCTATAGGGTAGTGCTTGGCAGTCAGCCAAAGTCTAAATGATAAATGAGTTTTAACACGCAAAAACAATTTTGGGATCCTTTAATTATTCATTGAAATGTGATGTATAGCAACAGCTGGTACGAAAATCTACACGAGAAATAATTCAGCTGTGTGCTGCTCACTGGCATGAGTTTGGGTGACCTCCTTACCTAAACTGCTCTTGTCTGTTCCCACACAAATATAACAGGAACTCATGAGATGGGACCGCACTAAAAGCACCTAAATCCAGATTACGAATGTTATGCCTGTGTGAGCTCAAGCCCAAACAAAAGCTCGGTGTGTCACTGCTTTTTTCCCTCAGGAAGAAATGATTTTGAACTGCTGGTGCTGGGGAGGTCAGCCCTGTCACCTCACAGCAACAGGTCCAGGGCTCCAATGTATTCTGGGGCCTTTTACACACAGAGGCTATTTAATCCACTTTATATTAAAGACTTCATAACACCATATAAACCCAATGGTGCACTTGACTCTGAGACTGCAGGTTTACTTGTGGATGCTAGAATGCCAGCTCGCAGTTTGGATTCAGGAGACAGACCCACTCTCTACTTTTGAGATTAGGTGTAAAACTTTCATTTTTAAAAGTTTATCTTTAAGGCTGATCAGGTGACCCTGAATCCTCCCTTAGTTATGCTGTAATAGGCCTAAGCTGCTGGGGGCTTCCCAGGAGGCCCGACTTTTTCCATTATATGTTTATATGACACGCTGCATTTAATCATTAGTTAGTATTGATCTCCGGCTCTCTTCCATAGTGTGTCTTTTGTCCTGTCTCCCTCCCCTCACCCCCCTTCCTGAGTCTGGTTCTCTTGGAGGTTTCTTCTTGTTAAAGGGAGTTTTTCCTCCCCACTCTCACCAAGTGCTTGCTCATAGGGGGTCATCTAATTGTTAGGCTTTCCTTTGCATTATTGTAGGCTCTTTACTTCACAGTACAAAGCAAATCTAGGCAAATGTTGATGTGATTTAGAGCTTTATAAATAAAATGAAACTACACTGAATTTCGGTTTCCTCCCACAGTCCAAAGACATGCATGGGGTTAGGTTAACGGGTAATTCTAAGGATAAATGTTGTCTGTCTCTATGCTTTAGCCCTGCGACAGACTGGTGACCTGTCCACAGTGTACTTTCTCTCGCCCTAGATAAGCTCCATTCTCCCCACAACACTGAACTCAATAAGCGGAAGAAAATGGACGGATGGATGCCCAACAATGTCTGCACTCTAACACAGTAATCACTTAATGGCCACAGTAGAAACAATAGGAATTGCCACCTGATGCTGACTAATCCCAAACCCATTAGTCTGACCATTTGTTTCCTGAAATTGGGCAAAATCCACTGGAAAAACATTACACAGGAGGGGGAACATGGTGTGTTTCATGGTGTGATTGTTACCCAGTTTCCCAGTTGGCCTCCAGCAGCTCTAGCAAAGCCATTCTCTGCTGCAACAAGAGGGAGCCAGGCAGTTCTGCTGTGGCCAGAGCGTGAAATTCCTCACACGGGTAGTCGTCGAGTACATAGCCCTCCCCTGGGACTTGGCGCCACGTTGCACTTTCGTCTGACCAGGGGCTGGAGGCCTGGTGGAGGAGTATGGCAAAAAAGTAAGCTTTACCACTGATATCGACATCTCTTTTAAATGTTCAAATCCATCTGAAGTTAAATCAACTGAGGTGTCCTGCAAGCATTGCTTGCTTCTTTATAGCCCATAAAGAGTACAGTAGCAAACTGAATGTGTCTTCTCTTAGGTTGTTATCTACTAAAGCCAGAAGAAGAAGAAGGAAATCTGATCATGTCCAAGGAACACTGATCGCTGGCGGCACATACAAAGCCAAAACCAGTTTTTTTTGTACAGTTACAGTATAGGACACCAACAAACAGTTGTTAAGACTGATAGATTTATGTGTTTCAGGTTGCCTATAGTTGCAAGTAAAGTAATCATAGACAGTTTTTTTCTGCTATCTTGCTTGATAAATGGCTTAATGAGATAAATCAGTTTTAAAACTACTGTGAATCACTTTTGATTCTGACTGTTCAACTGACAAAAAAACACAAGGTCCAGTTCTGGTTCTGCCAGAGGTTTCTTCCTGTTAAAAGGGAGTTTTTCCTTCCCACTTTTGCCAAAGTGCTTGCTCATAGGGGATCAAATGATCGTTTGTTTTTTCTCTGTATGAATTATTGTAGGCCCTATAATGTAGGGTCTACAATAATACATCTACCTTACAACTACCTTACAATATAAAGCGCCTTGAGGTGACTGTTGGTGTGATTTGGCGCTGTACAAATAAAACTGAATTGAACTTAATTGAATTAGCCGTTTGAGTCAGATAATTTATACATTCACAATCCTACAACAAGTGGGCAAACTCTACTGCTAATAGGCGGCATAACACAACCAACAGCTCTAGAACAGTTACTAAATGGATCTTCTGGAAGGATTTCTTATCATGGCCCTAACCACAGAATGAGCAAAGCCTACTTTTGCTTTAACATCATTAACAATAGCATAAAAAATCCTTAATGTAATGACTTGTTAATAGCATCTGATGCATACAGTGTTTTTAAACAGGAATGATGTTATCGCAATTTTCCAGCATTGTATGTAGGTAGTATCAGTCACACCATGACTGATAGTATCATCACAAATCCTCATACTTTCCACTGTAGCTGTGGCTCAGTCTAAAACAGGCGTCAGGAATGTGTGAGCTGCACACCTCCGACTATGCCTGAGTGACATTTCTCAGCAGCCACCTGTTTTTCTTCTTATCCTCAAAGCAGCCATTGATCTTCCTAGTTCTGGTGCGACTCATAATTGTTAGTCTTTTCGTCCTTTAATCACTACCTTACTCATCACGATGACTCACAGATGCAGACATATAATCTGGTCTTCCTCTGGTGTCCATGGAACCACTAAATATTTTGCCCTTACAAAACACATCCATAGCCTTTTATCACCTGTGCTTACATGCAGAGCCATCGTGACCTTTGTCTGATCTTTTTCTGCCTATCTGACTGGATCAGTGCAGCGTGAGCTGTGTGTCATTCTTTTCTAGCTGAGGTAACAGTTCAGGAATATCGTCCTCACCAGTTCTGTAGCAGTGAGTGTTTGTCTTTGTTTGCAGATGATGAGACCATCTTTGATTCCCAGTTTACTGAACAGCTCTCTCCATCCTGCCACATCACCGTCTGTCTGCACATAGCAGGGACTCAGCAAGATCCAATCATAGCCTGGTGAAAGGGAAACACAACAGTCAGCAACACAAAGGTTTACAGAAGGAATATCAACAAAGAAATGCTGAACCTGGTAACTGAAAATGTAACTGATTAAAATGAGTTGTTCAGTCATACAAACAAGGTACCTGTGATGCATGGGCCTTTGTTACTAGAATATTATAAGAATAGTCACAGGAACACTGATATTTAGATTTGGTGGCAAGGCTGTTGCTGTCCCTTTCACACAGGCAAGGGGAGCAGCAGCAAGACCCGAGCAGAGAAGAGAGCAGGTATTATTGACAGCAGACTTAATCAGTGTTAATTGATTATGTGGGAAACATCATGAAAAGGATGATTTGATGTGAAGTTGGGTTGCAAAGTGGCTTGCAGTGCGCCTTACACCAACACAAGCTGTTATTCTTTCTTTTAATAAAAGCTGTGGGATTCTCCTTACCAGGCAGCTTCGATGGTAAGTTGACGTTTCCGTACTCTTCAGAGAAATGCACCCTTTCATTGGATGGGCACAGCAGACCCCTGGAGGTGAGGACGGGTACTGCGGTGTCTGAGTACTCCTGGCTAGAGGACGAGTGCTGCTTGATGAAAACCAAGTAACTCACAACCACAGGTGTAGGCTTTGACTTCAATGAAAAGGGTAAACAGAAATAAGAGAAAGAAGAAAGAAAATTCATCCAATTTTTTTTTAAAAAAGATCACTGATCTTTTTTTTTTTTCTCATATTCATTTACAGTGTTTGTTACCTTCCATTTGTTGTTCCTTATTGTAGGGTAGATGTGCTGCTCCAGCAGCTCTTGAGGCTCTAGCTCGTGAACCCCAAGTCTTCTGAGCAGCTCATGAACCTGCTGACTTTCCAAAGGCTCCAAACAGCTCAGCAGGGACGGGTGAACCACACTGACATCCTTGTACAATGCAGCCAGTGGTCCTGTGAGAAGAAAAGTACAGGTTATATCACCAAACTGGTCACAAAAACAAAACCTACTGCATGCTCCTCATTTACTGTAGGGTTATATGTTATATAATAACCACCCTGTTTAAAGTTGAGTTCTTTTGAGTGAACCTTTTCATCAGACTCTAGAAAGTGTCACTCCAGTTCATTTCATTTCATTTCACAGACTCGCCCTTCAGAGACTCGCCTGTAACAGATGTGAAGAGAGGCAGAAGACTGCTGTTGTGGCAAAGTGCTAAATGTGGAAGACGTTTTTTCTGAACAGGCATCTAGTCTCATTTTGTCCTGGATTTGGGAAATACACAATTCTTGGTAAATGTTGAATTACTCATACACTGTCTTAATTTTTAACACAATACTACAATAAAACACAGCAACTACCTTTAAGTAAAGACCTCCAGTGACCTACTTTTCTTCCTTTTAAGGCTTGCATCTGAAGGAACGCTTTCCCACTGATCTCTGCGCTGCTCAATATTTCAGAAGAACACTGTGTTTAACTTCGCTGTCTCTCTAAACCCATCACACTCATCTCTGTTCACCTCGCCTTTGAGCAGAGCCTGAGGTTTATGCTGCACCGAGGCTGATTTAATCTACAATCACTGACCCGAAAAACCAGCTAGAGTAAAGATTTCACTCTGACTTTTATTATTTCCCCATCAACTTTCCAAACATTCTTTATTGAGTCTGTTTCCAGTGACAAAAGCTTTTCACAATTATGAATAGGAGCCTTGCACTCAAAATCATGTTTTTCACTAGCCAAGAATTTGTCAAACTTTATTGTTCTCAAACACCGGTGGTGTGCACTGGTGATTTAGTGCTCTTACATGAAGCAGTCGACCCACAGGAGGCAGATCAATGCCCAAAATCAAAGCCAGCCTTACTGTTAGTCCTCGTGCAAGACCATGCTTCTGGCAGCAAATCCTAAAATCTGAAACCTCACTGGTCACACACTTCCTGTCAGACTTACTACACAAGGCGAATTACTGTCCACAGTGTTCCTATATGCTAATTAACCAACACAGAAGCAGCCAGTTCATTTCAATAACAACCAATGCAATGCATCAAGAGCGGCACAAATTAGCAGGTCAGATGAGGTAAATCTACCAACAGCACAGGTTCAGCTGTGCGACTTCTAATGTGATGCAACTGTTTCTCTCTGGAAACGACACGGCAATTCGTACCAAGGAGCAGGAGTGGAAAAATAAACGTTCTGACACGAGTAGCACGAGGGAAATCTTCCTTCAAAAAGTGAGAGGGGCAGCATGAGGTCTTTAAGGCAGGAAAGGTTTATGTTTGGATGAAATATGGGAGCCCAGGTACAATGGAAGATTTATCCAGAGAAGAACTGCTTTATTAGAAACGACTTCCCTGTATTGACCTGAAATCTGTGTCTAACAGCTGACCTATAGGAAGGAACACGATTGATTATCAGATCCAGTGTACTATCTACTCTTTATATGTTTTTTTGTTGCATTCATTTTTTAATGACTCACAACCAGCTGTGTTCTAGATAAATATGATGGATCTGCCTCCCAAATAAACATCTGGTGCAAAAAAGCTATTTTGTAATATTTTTTGGTCTTAAAACAATGGTGGAATTTTCTATAAACTTGATAAATTGATCCTTAGCAAGCCAGATGTCATTCTTTTAAATGCTCCCCTCCCCCTTTCTAAGGAAAGTAAGATATTTGTCTAATCTAAGCAATTTTGAAAGACAGACATTGGTGATGCTTATGTGAGCCACAGATTCCAGAGAAAGACAAAGGCAGCAGAGGGAGAGGGGAACACGAGCACTTTGGCTCCTTAAAGAAACACTAAACCACTTAGACTGCACATCTATTAAAGCCAGCAAGCTGCAGCGGCAGGATGCTTACATCAAAGTGTGAAAATCCATTATTCATGCTCGCCATTCTAAACGTCTGCTTTGGGTACCATTTTCAAATACGATGACGCACAACACAACACCGGTGCCGTTCCTCAATGCTTGTGCGAGCGTGCTCCGACCTGAGTGGCTACATGCCTGCTTATTCTTGGAAAGAGGTCAACTTCATCTGCAGACTGTACAAGTTTGTCATACACCTACTTGGCTAACCTGCATGTCTGAGTCTGCTGACTTTGAAAACAGAAGACAAAGCTACTGACGCAGATCGAGAGCTCAGAGTCTTTCCCCCTATGCCATTTCTATATCTACTCAGACATTAAAAAAGAAAGTTTGAATGTGTTCTGTAGTCTGTTACCGTGTCTGTTTACTTAAGTGCCTTGATTCAAATGTACCAGGTAATGCACTGTGCTATTTTTTACTCAGTTTATGAAGCTCCACAACAATTTCCAGCTTTGCAAGGATTTCCTGGCTGAGGTTTGTGAGCACAGATGGAGAGTGTTACATGTGCACTTCTCACCGTCAACAAGGTGATACTTATTTATCCGTTTTTGTTTCTCCTACATCAGTTTGTTACATTTTTAGAAACTGAAAACCTGTGAAAGCGTACTGTTCTATATTCTCACTGCTTTCCTTTCTCCATCTCTACTGCTGGTTCACTGTTTTTTGTTTTGTTTTTTTCACGCTTGTTTTAGCAAAGTGCAATCATCACATGCGTATCTATAAATTCTCTGCAGGTGCAGAGCAATTATCTGCACCAAAGCAGCAAAAACACAGAGACATTGCTGCTGACTCTTTCACAATTCTTCTTTAATTCTACATGCAGCTGTACACTGTATGCTGGGCCTGTCTTTTTATCACAATACTGCAGCTATTCATCTGTTAAGAAACAGTATTAAAATATGCAGTAGTTTTAGTTTTACTTATGTATGTAAAACACAAGCTGATGTGGCCATTGTGAGGTTGCCTATTTCTTTGTGGATTATACTTTTAAAGCCTTTTACTCTTCACATTGGTTTTAGGAGCCAGAAGTTGCCATATTTGGATATGAGTGTGCAAGGCTAAGTTCTCAGCTAATGTTAGCAAATTTGTTTAGCAACCATTGAAAGAAGAAAACAAGCTAGGTATACAGCTAGGAACTAAAGGCGCTTGTCCTTGTGTCAGTACCATAATAGCATCCACTTTTTTACTCACTCCATATTTCAAGCTGAAGCTGTTAGTATTTGGTCAGTGCAATGTAGTTTTTTTTTTTGTATAGTCAAAGATATCGTATTTAGAACAGCGCTTGGAGTGATAAGCTATCAGCTAACAGGCTAATTTAACAAGTGCACAGAGACACATATTTGCAAATTATAGCAAAGTAACAGTACATGAAATAAACAGCTCCACACACTGCAGAACTCACATTTCCTCATTTATTGCCTCTAGTAGTGTATGATGTTCAAGCACATCGTGTAAGAATCGTTTAACCTTTTCTATATTAAAAAATAATAACCCCCACACAGTTGTTAGAGGGGCTGAAATTAACTTTTAAGAAAGCAAGTGCTATTTTTAACTGCCTGTAAAAATGCCTGCCTGTTTTTATGCCAAAAGTAGAAAATGGAATGCCTTGCTTTTGGAGCAGCCTCTAGTGGCCATTGGAGGAAGTGAAGCTGTTTGGACTTCTGCAAGCTTCGCTTTTCAGCCCCAAACTTTAGGCTTTTCCTATTCTATTCTTTGACTTAAAGCAAGGCAAAGTTATTTCAGAAGGACACACATAATCAAGATATCAGTTTGCAATTTAATCACCGATCACATTTCACAGATCAAGCCTCTTAGCCACTACATACTGCCACTAATAGAGTTATGAAGTCAGAGTATTACCTGTCTGTGCTTGAGCTTTCTTTTTCTTGGTCTTGCTCTCTTCCATTGGAAAGAACACTCCTTCCACACTTAGTGCCACCGCACGTCCGTCAGCTAGAGGGATTATGGGTAGCTCTCTGAGCGTCTGCAGGATGGAATCTGCCTCTCCGTATCCATGCTCCAGAGCTCGGAAGTTACAAACCAGCAGCCTGGCCAGCTGATGTAGACCTGCATCTGAAAGTAACACAATTCAATTCAATTTTATTCATATAGCGCCAAATCACAACAAAAGTCGCCTCAAGGCGCTTCATAGATACAGAGAAAAACCCAACAATCATATGACACAGTCTGGTGTTCAGATTTGCCATTACATAGGCAGAGAAAACATCAGTTTGTTTCTACTGAATGAAAAAGAAATAAAATGGAATATTTAAAGTTTAGCCATTTATTATAATGACAATATAACTATGCAGCATCATATTGCCCTCACTGTGAGATGCCAGTGTTGCTCTGCACACACCTGAATGGATACCTCCCACTGTCATCAGCTCCTTGACCATGGCTGTGGTTACTATGGTAACATCCGTTCCCCGCAGGTATCGGACTCCCAGGTGAGTGAGCAGGGAGGTGGGCGGTGCTGGGCTTAGATCCGGATGCAGATAGGACAGAGACAGATGCTTTTCCAGCTCACCTCCACCAATCACTTCCCGTATCACAGGGTCCTGACAGACGGCCACCTGGGAGGGCAGCTTGTACACAATCTTACCATCTGAGAGAGAAAGCAGAGGAATGTTTACAGTGTTACAGGGAAGAAATAATCTTTCATATTTCTTTGACATGCTCCTGTTTGTGCTCTGGTCTAACCCCAGCTCAACCTGTTTGGTTTTTCGTTTTTACCTTTACCTGAGCTGGTTAAACTTGTGTTGACTCAATGGAAATATCCTCTGGCTCACTCAACATTTTACTTGCATCTTTGTTTAAAACAGGTTTACCCGTGTCTGTGTCTGTATGCGAACTGTAATCAGTGCTTCACTGGTCTCTAGTCAAGTCCTTGCTTATTCTAAGAATGCTGTCATCTTCCACTTTTAAAAAAAGCCAACCTTGAATCTTTTCTTCTTAGCACTTACACATTAATCTCCAGTTTATTATCTCTTGCAAACATTTTATAAAAGCTTGTAGCTCACGAGCTGACAGATGTTCTGGATAAATGCAGTATTGGGGTGATCCAGTCTGGCTTTTGCATTGCTCATCTTACTAAAACAGCTCCTCTTTAAAGTGACACTTTGACCTAAACTCGTAAAAAACTAAATTCTGACCACCAGGTTTTGTCGATAGCCTGAGAGACTGGGTTCGGGCTGGTATCGGGCTCCGCTTTGGTTGATTGATTCTCCTCATATCTGCCTGAATGATCCTTTTCTGTGTCCTGTTCCACTTCTCTTGCCTACAGTGTGCCGCAGGGTTCCATTTTGGGGACCTTATTGTTTATGTTAGATCTGCTCCCTCTTTAGGACACTCTGAGGTTATTTCTTGTTCCTTTTGACTCAGCTTTAACTTTAAATGAAGTGAAATCTTTGGTTCATTTGAGCTTTTTTCATTCAAGAAATATTCCCAAATTGAGTTAATCTGTATCACACTCTGCATTAGAAATTGTTGGTCTTGCTTTCATTTTTCACATCTAGTTTTAGTTTTTAGTTTAGTTTTATAATACCTGAACTGAGAGTAGGCAGGAAGGATTTGCCCTTGAGCAGCTGAATGATCTGCCCGGCAACAGGCTTGAAGAAGTCCAAAACCTCATCAGACAGGGGGATAAACTGAAGGAACTGGCACAGGCCCTTCAGTCCCTTGAACTCTGGGTGATTCTGGAACAACGAGAAGATGGAATATGACATAAAAGAAAAAGCTCTCTTCAGACGGAGACACAACCAAGATCTAATATTAGCCTAATAATACTTTATGTTCTAGACTTTTTCTTTAGTTACCTCAGCTACAAAAAGAACCAAGCCTTTATTGGAAATAGACAGACCTGTAATTTCCTGCTACATACCAAATCTGCATATTATCAGATTTCATAAACTTCAGTGCTCAGAATTTATTTTACACAGTAATGTATCAAATATGCAGTTTTAACGCTCTCTTCTAATAGAATGATTTAATGTATCTGCTAATAATTTCTGGTTAGTATGACTGAGCAAATTTTCAAATTTTATCCTCCTGCCCAGATACGTCACAGTAAACGATCCTTAAATCATATTTTCTAAATCAACTTGCATATTAGTTTCTAATGATTTCATACTGCAACATAATGTGCATACACATTCCATGTA